CTCTCTCTCTCTCTCTCTCTCTCTCTCTCTCTCTCTCTCTCTCTCTCTCTCTCTCTCTCTCTCTCTCTCTCTCTCTCTCTCTCTCTGTGTGTTCTTTTTTTTCTTCTTTTTTTTTTCCCTTTCATGAATGGTTTGCGATCCTCCCAGGAGCTTCATTGAGATCTACTGATTTATTTCCTGATCCCTTTCCTCCCTCTGAGCTAGCTCTGGTAGATATGGTTTGGCAGGGGGGATGTGTAATCAGCATTTTTTAGTTTGGAAGACATCAATCTGGATTCGGATAAATAAGGTAGGTCTGCTAGGATGGTATGTGTGTCTGGCGGCTCAGTTGGGCTGAGGAGGCAGGTTTCTACTTTCAACTTACAATGACTTGTTCTTGATGATCATGCAAGGGAAGTTGGACCCGGTTTCCAGAACGTGTTGCTTCCCACCAATAGATGAAGCCAGCCCAGCAGTGCTAGTGGTACCTGATCCTATCAGCACCCCTAGCATCACCTAGGGTGCTTAAAAAAAAAAAAGAAAAAAAAAAGATTGCGTTGTCTCTTTGTGGCGAGGGCACGTTGTAGCGGCCTTGCTCCAATAAGTGCCTCAACCTTGCCCTTCGGGGTAGCTCCGTACCCTCCTGTTCCTCTTCAGGACTGCTCCTCCCTTTGAGTCCCTTTGTGAAGAATAGAGGGGGCTGGGGCGTGGGAGGCTTGATCAGGGTAAAAGTTTCTACCGGGTCTCCAGGGGACTGCCCTCCCCCTCCTTCGGCCGGTCGCAAAGAGGTGACTGCTTCCTCAGCCGGGGGAGGGGGAGGGGGAGGGGGAGGGGGGCAGTGGATGTGACGCACGTGCAGAGGGAACGTGCGGAGAATGGTGTGAGAGAGAGAGAGAGAGGAGATGGACACACACGAAAGCAGCAGCTGAGTGAAGGTCCAGTCCGGCTCGAATGAACGAACAACAGAATGAATGAACCTCCCKCCCTGGSCCTAGGCCGAAGTGTTATACCGGCCTAGGTCCAGGTACGGGATAACCTGGTACCGGACCAGGGTCAGGCCGACGGCCTGAAACTGGTCCGGCCTCACTGCCGGGCCGTAGGGGTACCGCTACACGATCCTCGGACCTGTTAATGGATCAAGCGATACATCAAGCACGCTATCCGCTGAAATAGCGGAAACCCAAAAGGAACGGCAAAAGGACCAATCCTAAATGCGGAGCAGGCTCCATGCATGAAAAGGGATGCAATGCAGACTAAGCCTCAAGCCTAATCTATACCATAATGTCTGGTCTGTGTCGACCCAAAAAGTAGAAAAATGTCTGACCTGTGTCGGCCAAGAAAGAGAAAAACGTCTGACCTGTGTCGGCCAAGAAAAGGAAAAATGTCTGACCTGTGTCGGCCAAGAAAAAGAAAAATGTCTGACCTGTGTCGGCCAAGAAAGAG